ATAAGGTAAAGTCTTTGTTCTTAAATAACTTTAGTATCTTCAATTAAATATCTCTATAATGAAAGGCAATTGGCTTTGTATTTTTTTTTAACAAAAATTATCAACAGATAATATTCTCAAAAAAGTCATGTAAGATGCATGTGAAAATGTTCTATTCTGAAGAAAGAATAGTTAGAGAAAAGGAATAAAGTTCTTTTTACAATCATATTCCTGAACATTCCCTTAATATTTAATATCTCAGCTATGCACAAAATCTAAATATAAACCGCTAGATATTTGCTTATTTTAAACTAAACACTGAACCTATACTGAGACATAATGTATTCAAACCAGAACACACATTTACTGTAGCAATATTGTTTTACCAATTACATTTCGTTAGGCAACAGAAATCTAAACACAACTTCACACATTACATTTTTGGGGGAATATCTATTTCATACAAGTCAGTAAAATTATAATGTGACTACATGCATACAAAGATTATTCATAACAACACATTTGAAGCTTATTACACACTATCGCCATTCAATTTTGATAGATATCAAAATTCAATGATGAAGCCAATAAAATTATATTTTCTTGCCTCAGTCAAATCTTACCCACAGGAAAGTATCATAATGTTAGCTCCATATATTCCTAAGACACACAAAAGTTTACCAATGAAATTGGTTAAGAGGTCAGCATCTAGTCATAAGTCACTTCCTGACAGCCACCTGCTTCTAATGCAGGTCTGCACAACAAGCGGTCTGCCAAGCAGACGTGTATGATCCTCCGGGGTTTTATCAAGACAATAAATTCACCCCCACCCCAAAAGACATACTGCTGAAGTCCTCCCAGCCTCACCGCTGAGTCTCCTCCAGCACAGCCACTGTTCTGCTAGCTACAGAACAGCTGACTATCATCCCAGGTATCTCTTTGTGGCCCCGTGATTATTTTTAATTAATCGGTGAGGTTCTTCCCTAAGATTTGCAAGCCTCCTCTAATGTATAAGACCTTGGAGAGTCCTTCTGAGTTATCTGCATACAGCAGAGAGAAAAATGTGTCCCATATTTTATGACGGTGGAGAGATGGGCCTTGTGGCTCTTATAATATTCTCTGGCATGTTAAAATGAAGTTGGAAACTTCACTTTTAAGGATAAAAGTGACTTTCATTGTTTCCAGGTACTTCCAGAGTCTAGTTTGAGGGCTAAGACTCTAATTGTAGACAGAGGGCCAAGGGAAGGGTAGACTCGGTTTTTGAGCACAAATACTGGTAATCTAGGCCAAACAGTCCTGTCAAGTATCACTTGTCAAGAATCTACTGGCTGCTTCTTTTTCAAATAAAGGTACTGTCTTTTGCAATAATTTCTACAGGGGTAGAACCCGTTTCAGCTTACTAGAGGAATTGACAAATACATTCAATTATTCAGTGCAACAGCCTATGACTATGGAATTATTATTGAATTTATTGAACTATATTATTCTTTTATGTGAATATAAACATGCAATATTTCACTGGCTCTAACTATAGAGATCCAGTCACATTAGGCAAAATTCTGTCTCTCTAAAAAAGTCTTTAATGCTAGGAAAGGTGGAAGGAAAGAGAAGAGGATGACTAGCAGCAAGGTGGGTGGACTCACTTACAGCACTGATGAGTGCATCACTGGGAGATCTGAAAGAACAGATTAGAGACAGATTGCCCATGGAGATATCTGTGTGGTAGCTAGGAGTCAAAAACAATTTGATGGCTAATAGTCAATAAAAACTACAGAAATTATATAAACCAAAATTATATAAGAACAAGGGGGTCTGCAACCTGGGCGTCCTCCTGGATGCTCGGCTGTCTTTAGACGATCATGTGACGGCCGTGGCCAGGGGGGCTTTTCATCAGGCTCACCTGATACGCCAGTTGCGCCCCTTTCTGGATCGGGACGCCCTACGCACAGTCACTCAAGCCCTCGTTTCCCGCCTGGACTATTGCAATGCTCTCTACCTGGAGGCTCCAGCTAGTTCAGAATGCGGCCGCGCGGGGGATTTTGGGGGCCTCTAGATACTCCCATGTAACACCTCTCCTGCGCGAGCTGCACTGGCTGCCGGTGGCCTTCCGGGTGCGCTTCAAGGTGTTGGTAACAACTTTTAAAGTGCTCCATGGCAATGGACCTAGGTATTTGCAAGACCGCCTCCTACCAAATATCTCCCTTAGACCAGTCCGCTCCCACAGAGAGGGCCTCCTTAGGGTGCCGTCGGCCAGTCAATGCCGGCTGGCGACCCCCAGGGGGAGAGCCTTCTCTGTGGCAGCTCCTGCCCTTTGGAATGACCTACCCCCCGACCTACGTACAACTACGGACCTGCGCCTCTTCCGCCGAGCCTTGAAAACCCATCTATTCCATGCGGCTGGCCTGGCGTAGTTTTTGATTGGGCTTTGCTAGGGGTTTTATATGGGGTATTTTAGAGCAGGCTTTTTATTCAATATTTATTGTGATTTTTATTATTGCCTGTTCACCGCCCTGAGTCCCGTAAGGGAGATAGGGCGGTATATAAATTTAAATAATAAAAATAAAATAAATAAATAACAAGCCCAAATAAATTGGAAAGTCACATATTTCCTTTTCTTCCATCTTCCCATCTTCATACCGCAGTTTATGATATATCCAGCACTAATACTAACCTTATCATCAATAAAATGCATCTGAATCTTTTGAAGATGGCGAAGTACAACAGGGTGCACAATTTATCCAAGTTATTCCTCATACTACTAAACTATGTTTTATTACTACATCCAAACAGGGTCAGAAAATTATAAGGATAATCTGCAGCATGGCCATGATCTGATTTCCAAAGGAGATGCTTTAGAGACAAAAATTTTGTCTCTAAATCAGCTAATGCAAGGGCTAACTTTGTAGCTTTGGGGCCAGCCAAATTAGTTTTGAAGTTGGTCTTTTCAAGTGTTCTAATTACAAAAAGTACATGGGGCAGGAAAAGAATAATTATCTATAAGGACAGGAAATTTATTTGCAATTACTACTTAGATAGGAATTTATCAGGCAGGAAGGATGCATATTGTGTTGGAAGAAACAGCAGTTGTGAGACAATTCCCCAAGGATGCTTTTACTGTCTCTTGGAAATGTGATTAATCCAGCCTGTTTTCATGGTAATCTTGGGACCAGTTCGTAATTATAGGTAGATGGGATAGAAAAACAGAGCTGACAAGCGATTTCTTCATCACATATACATATTGCCACCAAAGTATATCAAATTCTCATCGTGCTAAAGAAAATATTGTCTAGATTAACACACCAGAGTTTCAAAAAGAAAAATGATGCTTAAGTAATCACCTGGTCATGTTTTCATAGAATTTAACATAAGCATTAGCCACAGCTTTGTGATTTCAGCAAATAAAACATCAGCCAGCATTTCTGTGGAAGTTTAACAAGGAGTCATTCCTTTTCCTAACTAAGTAAAGAAGCTTTTAACAAGAGAAAGTGGCACTCTTATGTCTAAAACAGAAATGACAAACCAGTCCCTTTATATACATGATTAGTTCCAGAAACATCAACATTCAATTTTCTTCATTCATTCAGGTTATTTTAAAGCTGAATTCATTCAAGTCTAAACAAACCAATGATTTTTTTCCCCATTATTATTCCATTATTCTCACTCAAGTATGTAATCTTACTCACCTCCATAGGACTTCTGAATAAGCATGTACAAGCCTGTCATCCTATATGTAGCACATTCTACAATTAAAATAATACAGCCTGCTACTGTATAAAGAATAGGATTTATCACTTTGAAAATATCATATACTAGGCAACCCATGATCTGTTGGGTCATTCTTTCAGATATATTTCCTCATCTAAACGGAGCAACAGAATGACCACGGGAAGCAAATAAGCAGTGGGATCAGGAGCAATTTCTGATTTCCTACTGGCTTCCCCACTGACTTTGCTTGTGGGAAGCTGGCAGGGACCATTGGAAATCATTCGTCCTCCTTGCCTGACCTGCAGAACGGCCTGCCACTTTGCTTGGAGAGGGAGAGTAATGGAATGGCCATGGGTGGGCAAAAGAGTAGTGTTAACAGACTTCTGATTTCCTGCTGGCTTCCAAACTGATATTATTTGTGGGAAGCTGGCACAAAAATCACTCCTCTTCCTTCTCAGTTACCCTGCAGAACTCCTGCAACTTTACTGGAGTGAGGGGAACAAAGGGAACTATAAGTAAGTAAAACCATACCCTACTCTCCATCCTGGCATGTCCCCAAGGGCCCCTCCCTACAAGGAAAGAGAGAGCTCACCCATTGACTGCTGGTGCCCCCCAACCAGCCCAACTCACCAGCAAACCCTCAGCCTTACCTCGTTGCCACTGCCATTAAGAGATTTCAAATTTCAACCTTGGTTCCAAAGTAGCTATACCTTTATTGTGCCACAGACATGATGCTAGCCAACATCGCTCTTTTTAGTTGGGATTGTTACCTCAAACTTCCATTTCCCCCAATTGAAAGTTACAAATAAACAGATCCAAGAGTTGTAGTAGCATATACCGTAGGTATCTCAGCATGACATTATAAATGGTGTTTTACTTCTCTGAAATAATTACTTCTCGGTGTCGCCCTGCTAAATTTAGTAGAGTTGAGTTCAGAATAGTACAGAACAGCGGCATAAAATAAGGCCTACTCAAAGGCCCTACGATTTGGCAGACCTCCTAAAATTTGCTGATATCAAACACAGAATAAGGATTAATATGTATTTGTTTTAAGCCCTGTAGCCCAGACAAGTAGCTTGCCCTTTGTAAAGCCCAGAGCATAAGGGGTTAATCCTAGGGGGAGTGTGTGTCTATGCATAACGGGGAGGGGGGGGAGAGGGAGGAAGGATGGAGCCAATGAAAACACTGAGCTATAGTTAGCTCCGGGAGGATAAACTCTGGAGATTGTTCCAGCAAGGCTTTCACAGATGACACATGCACTTTGTCCCCAGCGCCTACTGCATTTAAGCCCAGACCAGACATTTGACGCGGCTTACCTGAAGTTCGCACCAAGCAACCTCGACCCACGTTTCCGTGTCGAGCCCCTTATAGACCGTTTTGAAAGATCCTCTGCCAAGTTCAATGTCAAACTTTAGAAACCTGCCGTCGGGGGAGGTGGCCACCGCTTTCATATCGGCCTCCTCCTCCTCCTCTTCGGCCTCCTCTTTCTTGGACTTGCTCTGATCCTTGGAAGATTCGGGCACCTCTTTTTTCCCGGCATCCTCCTTGCCGCCGCCGCCAACGCCGCCGCCTTCCTTCGCCTGGTCACCTGCCGGGAGCCTCTCGGCGGCCGCCTCCTTCACCTGGCCGGCCGGCTCCTCTACCGGCCGCGTCTCCTCCACCACCACGGGCCTCTGCCCCGCTTTCACCCTCTCCGCGATTATCCGCCTGGTTTTGGAGAGGAAGAGGACCTTCTTCGGCGGCGGCTGCTGCTGCTGCTCCGGCTCGGCGGGCTCAAAGGGGATTTCCTCCTGATCGGAATCCACCACACTCCTCCGCAGAAAGCGCTGGTGGGCTGTTTTGGGATCTTTGGCGTAAGGCACGCGGGGAAAGGGGGCGGGGGCCGCGGCTCTGCCTCCTCTCGGCACTGCAGCAGGATCCACGCCGCCGCCGCCGCCTCGACTAGCGCTGCCTGGCCCTTCATCCATATTCATGTCCTTTCCCCCCGCAGGAGCCGGTGGGCGAGCGGCGGCCGCTGGGAGACCGGCGGCTTCTGCTACACCAGCAGTTGGTAACTCGCCGCCGCTGCTGCCGCCGCCGCCGCCTCCTCCCCTCCGCGGAGGGGCTGTGCTGGCATCGCCCCCAGTTTCCATTACAAGCGAGCTTTCGGCGGCTGCTGGAAAAGATGGTGCCGCTCCTCGCGCCTCCCGAGATGCTGTCCCCGCTTTGTGGCAGTCATCACGGTGCATCCTCGTGCGGAAACTCAGCCGAGGCAGCTGCGAGGCAAAACAAAAGCAAAAAGGCGCTCGGATCTGACGTGGCTGCCCGACTCACCTGGCCAAGAAGGCGGCGGCCGCCGTCACCTGCCCGGGAGCTTCTGCCCGCTCCTCCCTTCCTCTCCCGCTAAACCACCCCGGGGAACGGGATTCTTGCCCGGTCCCGTCTGCCTCCGAATGCCCTCTCCGCCTCTCCTCTCCTCCCGCCCCGCCCCGCGGGGAACGGAGAGCTAAAATACAAGCCCTTCGGCGCCTGGTTCTCCGCGAGTGTTTGGCGAGGCCGAGGGCGAGGAAGCCTCTTATGGAGCGGCGAGGTGAGCGTCTTCAAGGGAAACCGAGTGACTGCAGTCCCACCCCCAGGATGAATTGTCCGACTCAAATGCAGGTCGCCCCGCCTTTCTAAGGCTAGTTCAGAGCCTCCCCCCCCCCAAAAAAAACCCCCCAGGCACCGGCCGCCGAGGCTCACCCCACAGAAGCCCAGCCTCTCGAGGGTCTTTTCCAACGCGTCCCCGCCCCTCTCCGGCTATCCCTCAAGTCTCCCTTTTCTCCCAGTCCTTTTCACAGGGAAACCCGGTTTCCCCCGGCCTGTTTTCCCGCCCCCCCGGCGGCCTCCCTCCCGCAGAACACACCCTCGCCTGAAAGCCCCCAGACGCTCACGCGCTCGGTCCGCTTCCAGCCACCCTGGGCGGCCGCCTCCCCCGCCCCTTTTGCCCACTTCAGTCATACTGCAGCTCCACGCCGGAAAGCCATATTGTGATGGAAAGCCGGGAAGGCGGATATGGCTAATAAAGCCCGAACCAGGCACCTTCGCCTTTTGCTCAGACCAGCCCCAAAGCGCAACATTTAAGGCTCAGAACTGGGGCTTAAGAATTTGCGATCTTTTGCCCCGCCCGAAATTTTCTCCTTCCGAAATCTCTGCCTTAGACAAGCGCCAGCCACGCCAGTGGGGAGGCCGGCAACCGCAGCAACGGAGGCGAGAGGCTGCGCTGCCGCGTCCCCGCAGCAAAAGAGAAAGGAGCGGGCGTCGGCCGAGTGGCGCGCCGGGAGTGATTCGCAGCCGCCGCCGCCGCCGCCGCCGCAGGAGTTGTTGGCCGGAGGGCACTGCGGGCGGCTCGCCCAAGCCCGGCGGGTTCAGGTGCTGTCCGGCCACACAATGGAGGCGCTCACCTGCGGCCCGGCAAAGGGGCGGGAGGAGATGCGCCAGCCCAGCCCCGCCGACAGTTACTTACGCGGAGGAGAGGAGCCAGCCATGTTCAGAGCCGGCGGTGGAGGCTGGAGGCCGGGGGCTGGCAAAACAGCGGCTGAACTCTGCCGTCCTTGCCAATCATGGAGCCTTCCTCCTCCACCCTCCGAGGCCAGGCTCCCGCCTCCCCAGCGCCTCTGCGTCTAGCTCCGGCCTTTCAGCCGTGCGGGGCGCCTCTTCCCCCCGCGCGACGTCCGCTGTCCTCCAGGCAGGAGCGGGGGCGCCGTCGGTGAGGTACCCTGGAAGGAAGAATCCAGCCGCGTAAATAACGCGCCTCCCTGTGGCCCGTTGAACCCCTTCCAAAGGTTAGCTTGCCGGCCCGCGCTCTCCACCGGCGCTTTTCACCTCCACGCTTTCCGAAATCGGGCTTGTTTTGCTAATGATGCCCCATTTAACGGACCGACCGGGAGGCACGGGAGTCCCTGAGCAACCAATGAGAAGGCCTCGGAGGAGGTGGCCCTTGTTAGATCCGCCCCGCGTCGCAAGGGAACCAAGAGCAAGTCGGTTCCCCCTTCTCAGTTGCTAAGAGTGCGTCCCCTTCCTCCTCCGCGTTTCTGCAAGTCGAGGGTGTGTGTGTGTGTGTGTGTGTGAGAGAGAGAGAGAGAGAGAGAGAGAGAGAGAGACTGCTTTGCTTCAAGCTGAAGCCAAATGTGAATGTCCTCCATCAGAGCTGCAGCCCACATCCTTCTGTGGCTAAAAGCTAGGAAGGGAATAGGAGCACGGGGAGATGCTAGGAGATGCACAGAAGGAGCTGGAACCAGTCCTGGCAAGATATTGAAACGAGGAGGTGTGTCTGGAGGCAAAGGGCAATGCACAACTCAAACAGAAAGAAGAAATCTTCTCTGACCTGGTTCCCTCAACATGTTTAGATTGCAGCTCCAACTATGGTCGTACTGGATGTGTATTGTAGTTGTGGTCCATTACAACCAGTGGGCACATCAGAGTTATCTTATTGGCTATGGGAACAGAGTAAGAAAGGGAGAAAGAGAGAGGAAGGAAGGGGGTTGTTTTTTCCCCCTTTCTGGAGGCCTCTATGACTGCTGAGCGTAGTTTCCATGCAAGCAAATGCTGGCTGTCCTCCAGGGAGTTTGCTAGGCAGAATCTTGTTTATACATTTTTTTCTGCGGAACCTTCCTCCCCAAATAAATATTTTAAAACACCTGCAGCTTCTCCGGATCGTCTTCATTCATTTTTTTTCCATTCATTTCACCTGTACTTTCATACCTGCACATAGTATGAAAAAATAAACAGGCACGGTACTGAAAACTATCAGATCCTCCCGGAATAGTCTGTGATCTCCCATGTATTGCAGAGTTTGGTTTCTGAGGATGGAGATGGAAAAGGAAACTGTTCCAGATATCATCTGCAATGTTTTTTATAGTTAGGAAGAATGCCTTCCCATAGTAATAATCCTTTTTAACAATAATATTCCAAATAGGAAAAAATGTGCCCATAAACTCAGTGCTTAGATAACATCTTCCATGTAATAATAACATGTAATATGCTTTATGCTTCTGTTTTGACAAAAGGAGAACTTTCAAACAATTTTTTGTGGTTTTCTTGTGTCTACATACCCATCACACTATTCTTTTATGGGTTAAAGAACCTGCTGCAGAGTGCAGAAAAAGAGTAAGAAACAGTAAGGCAAAGAACTAAAGGCAGGAGAAAGAAAGAAAGAAAGAAAGAAAGAAAGAAAGAAAGAAAGAAAGAAAGAAAGAAAGAAAGAAAGAAAGAAAGAAAGAAAGAAAGAAAAAGATATATATATATATATATATATATATAATACTATAATGCCTTGGTAAGACCACACTTGGAATATTGCATCCAATTTTGGTCACCAGGATCTAAAAAAGATGTTGAGAAAAAAATGCAGAGAAGAGCAACAGATGATTAGGGGACTGGAGGCTAAAAATGTATAAACAAATATATAAACAAAATATATAAACAATTGCAGGAATTGGTTATATCTAGTTTAAAGAAGGACTAGGAGTGAGATGATAGCAGTGTTCTATTATCTAAGGGGCTGCCAAAAAGAAGAGGGGATCAACTTATTTTCCAAAGCACCTGAAAGCAGAACAAGAAGCAGTGGATGAAAACTAATCAAGGAGAGAATCAATCTAGAAGTAAAGAGAAAATTCCTGACAGAACAATTAATCAGTGGAATCATTTGTCTGAAATGGTATAGGGTTTCTTACTTGAGCGGGGGTTGACTAGAACAGGGCTTTTCAACCAGTGGTACCACTTGTGGTACATTAATGAGTGACAGGTGGTACACAGCCCTGCCTAGCCAAGTGTAGTGGGGGAGGGAAAGAGCCAGCGCAGGCAAGGACTTACTGTGAGAGAGTCCTCTGGAGCTGCAGAGTGGCTGGGGGAGACAAAGGGCCCAGGCTCACTTCTGGCTCACTCTCCTTATGAGAAAGGAGGAGGAGAGCCCCCCCCCCACAGGAGAGGCTATAAAGGAGGCAGTTTGGGGGGGGGGGAGAGAGAGAAAGCAGCAGCCTTGGGAGGAGGTGGAGTCAGCTCTAGCTGCACCTAAGGGAAAGGAGGAGGAGGAGGAGGAGGAGGAGGGTGGGGGGAGAGGAGAGGAGATCAGGCAGGCCAGCCATGAGCTGATCTACAACTGCTGTGGCAACCACCTGTGCTAGCAGCAGCAAGCAGGCAAGAAATGCAGTGGGGGAGGGGTCACTCTCCAAGAGGAATGAAAAAAGGCAGCAATGGCTGGAGGTGAGACATGGAGGAGGGAGGGAGATGGAGAGTGGAAGGATTCTTATGTGCTTTTGTGACTTTGAAGTTCTGGGATTTGTGCAATGTGGGCTTTGTGTTCTTAAGGAGTGTTTGGCAATTTCTATTTGGCTAATGGCTGATGTCTCCTGTTAGCTTCTATTGCTCTGCTATTGTTAGCTGTAAGTTTTGCTGCAAGGGATTTTGAAGTATTTTTCTCCTGAATGGATTTTGTCTGTAGCATTCCTTTACTTATGAATGGAGCCATTTGGGGAGGCTGCCTTAGCCAGCAGCGAGTACTTGCTATATTTTTTTTCTTCCTTAAGTGCCCGCTGTGCTCCTTAAGGTTCCTTTCTAGCCAGTAGCTAATTCTTAAAGGGGAATGTTCCTTTTTAAGCTAGTTCACTCAGCAGTTTGTCTTTTCTGTCTCTGGAGGCTTTTCCTTGTTTGATGAATATGTGGAAGAGAGAAAATATGGGAGTGGTTCAAATTTTTCTTTCAGAAGGAGGTGGACATGAGAAAGAGGGAGGCAGGAAAGGAGGGGGGGGGAGTCCAGCCTTAGCACTTGGCCACCAGCAGCCCTGCCATTGACTTTGCTTGTCAAAAGGTTGCAAAAAGGGATCACATGACCCTGGGACACTATGACCATCAGAAATTTGAATCAGTTGCCAAGCATCCAAATATAAATCGCATGACCCTGGGCATGCTGCAATGGCCATACGTGTGAAAAATGGTCATAAGTCATTTCAGTGCAATTGCAACTTTGAACAGCTTTTTTGGGGGGGTCATCAAGTTTTTGACACCTTGCTAGGTGGTACTCAAATATTGCCATATCTTAAAAGTGGTACAATCGGTGAAAAGGTTGAAAAGCCCTGGACTAGAAGACCTCTAAGGTTGCTTCCAACTCTGTTATTTGTTATTCTGAGATGGAGCTTAAATTAGGTTACGCTAATGCCATTCACTCAGCCTTTGCTTACTTTTCTATCCTCATAAATCATCTTTGTTTCTA